AGAAATTCATCTTCATTATGAATATTCGATAATATTGATTGAGAATGATATGATTTTATATCAGCTTCAAATGAAATTCCACGATGTTTTGTTAAAATATTTTTTAAAGTATCAGAATTATTTGAATTAATTTGAGAATTAAGAGATAAACGAAGAAATTCATCACATTGAAGACCAAAATAATGTGCAAGAGTTGATACAGTTAGTGGTCGATGTGATTGAATTTTACTAGGAATTTATAGTTCAATTAAAAATATATCAAATAAGAAAATAAAATTTTATACATAAAAAAAAAAACAAACGAAACTAAATTAGATGACATCTCATCTCAGCTCAGAGTACGAAGTATTTTAAATTTTGGCTTGAGGCTTTCAACATTGCACAGATAATAAAAACTTATAGTACCTATCAAATCAATGAAAATTTACTATTTTTTACTGAAAGTTATTGTTGAATTTAGATTTAATCTTGTCCTAGTTATTATAGAAAAACATACTATTTAATTCAATTTGTTCACATTGTAAAATTGATCGGAAACTATATTACGTTTCACCACATATCTTTTATTCAAATATGGTAAATATCGATATTTAGCGTTCTTCGCACATAAGCTTTGTCTATTGTATTTATTGTCATCTACATCTGGTTAAGTTTTATTCTGTTTTCTCTACAAATCTTCGATAGAGAAACGAGATTGATATTTTTCACTCTCATTTTTTACCTGCACAATCACAACCAACGCCCTAACCAGTAGCATCCTATAGAGTTTTGTTAATTAATAAAAAAAAAAGATGTCCATAACTATCCATTGATGAATTATCATATGTACTAGTGATAATTAATCATTGTTAAGATCAACGTCTAGTCTCACTTCGTTATATTGAACTAATGAAACAATATCCATAGATTATTTATAATATTCGGATTTTACTTTGAATGAACGAAACATCATCTTAAAAATTGGATAAAATTTGTATCATATAGAGATCTCAACGGCTCTAATGACATTTCTACGAATATCAGACTATTGTTCTGTTCTCGAGATCAATACATCAAAAAATATGAACTTTGAATGCGAAACTGTAGAAAGTAAAAAAATCTCGACTGACACTATAAAGTGGTTCGTACCTTAAAAAGAAATATCATTTTATACTATTAAATCAATACATAGATTTCATTCGATTAATAGCCGTTTAGTTTTTGAAAGATGATTCATCAGCAGTATATAAAGAAAACGTAGATACTCACATTGTCGAATCGTTAATTTCTGTTTGATCATCTGTTGTTTTTCCTATTAAATCTGTTTGTCTATCGAATAATACAGATAGATTTTCAATATCAGTCGTCAAATTTGAGGCCATCTACAATATAAAAAAAAAAGAATCAACTGACTTTATTCACCATTGGTTTTTTTCCACTATGATTCACATCATCATTTTCTCTTTTTTCTTTCATTCTTTTCATGGGAATAAATAAATATCGGCCCAAAAAAAAACAACATATGTTGATGTATCACATATATCAGTTTTCTGAGCGATTTTATTTAATAATTATTTATACCAAGTAAAGTAGTTGAATTTGTTTCGCTAGGGGAAAAAAAATCATGAGTAAACTCATGGTCATTGATGAGAGAGAAGACTGTACTCATGAATACGACTGTATGAAGAAAGAATAAGTGTTGACTGTTTCGAATAGAAAGAAAGGAAAAAAAAACAATGACGACGGTTATACAGACGACGAGTCGTATCATTATGAGAGAACAATGAACAAAACAACTGTACTCTCGTCCAGTCGAAAGTTAAAAATGAGAAGTTGATAATACATATCACACTTGATATCGACAGTCGATTATATAATTCTGATATCAGCTATTTACATTACAATATTTTCTTATTTTAATTGTGGTGTGCGCTAGATGATTTAGAATATGATAGTTTGCATGTCATATCGATTTTGTATTTCCTAGATTTTTTTATTTTACAATATTTCAAAGATTGGTCTACGTCAAAAAGGAGTTAACAAAAAAATATCGGTAACATTTGACGGACCAATTCGAAACAAAGGAAAATTCTTCTCTGCCAATAGTTTACAGTATATCTGTGTGCTATGATAGGAATCGGTCGTTCTTTACTATTCGATTTATATTCATCATTGTATGAAGAGAAAAAGGTATCTTACCTTCCAACGAACAAGAAACAGTAGAGATTTCAGTCTTGAAGTTTGCTGTTTCCTCTTCACTCCTACTGTCGACAAATGATGATGTGTACAGTAATTGATAATATATAAATTAAAAGACTCAATTTATTTATTGCCAAGTCAATTACGTATGCAAGTGTTAAAATCGAAATTATTGCTACATTATTCATCATGTAAGAGTATCTTTATATGTAACTATTAGAAATATGTGACAGTATTCAATACATATAAATAAATGTAAACAGAATGAATAAAAAAAAATAATTAAACGATGGATGTTTTTAGTTGAGATATATGTTGAGTTTATCATTTTAACAAGGTTATATATTGATCGATAGATACGCATTCTGAAATAATTAAAACGAGTAATGAATTCATTATAGATCTTTATTATTGAATCTATAGTTTAGATAATCTAAAAACCGTCTTAACAAATGACAATATCATAAAATATTCTGAATAAATTACTTCAATACTGAAAAATAACTTGTATGTAGAAAGTATTTACATAATATATCTTTTGAATTTCCACCAATTTTTTAGTCAATAGAGAGAACCAAAAAAATAGTCAGCTAGAATGAGAATTTCAAGTTCTTTCTAAAAATATATATCTAGTTTTTTTTTTCTGTTTTAAATTTGGTTCATTGACAGCAAATCTTTGACGAAGATCAATAACGACATTTTTACAGGGTTTTTCAAATCGTCTTTTCTAGTATTTTGGTTAAAACTGCCTCATTCTACAGTATGAGAAAGTCTTTTCATACACCAATTTATATAGAGTGAGGTTCGATTAATATAATTCTCAATTTGTTTACTGTTGTTGCATTTTTGGAAATAAAAAAACGAAACGATTTTGTTTTAGATAAGGTCAAGGGTAACTATTCGAAAAAATATTTATACCTTTTGATTCTATTGTTCTAACTTATTGTAAATCCGTGATTTTGTAGAAAATTGAATTCTTTACAATTATAAAAAGTCAAATCTATCTAAACATACCAGTCAAAGAAGTTATAAATAAGAGAAAAAAAGTATATGATTCTTAATTTAAACCATGTTTTACTTTATTCATATATTTGCTCACAGATGAATAGCTGCATATCAAAGAAAATTTTGGAATATGTATTTAGAAAGAGTATCGAATTTTGATTCTGATTGACAAGTTTTGATTTTTTTCCATGATATCTATGTGCCTAACAACTGAAGAAACATATTTGCCATGATCTTTTAATTTAATGTTTTGTACAAACGATATTTTAGGCTTCCATCAAGGATTTATTCGGCAAAAATCAACTTTAAGCCGGATAAAAAATTCTGACCATATATTTAGAAAGAGCGTAAAATTCTTATTCTAGCTCATTACAACTGATTCTCTCCAGTCGGAGTACTTTTACGTTCAAAGTAATCTGGCGTAAAAACGTTGACATCAACATTTCATCCATTTTACCAACAACGTAATCTTGCTAATATAGTTTTGTCTGACCAAAACTTTCGTCTTAATTGAGAAGTTTCTCGAGTATCAAACAAATGAGTTGTACGTTTTTTTGAATTTGTTATGTTAAATAGAATTTCGCTGTAGTTCAAGATCTTTGGTTCGAACTGGAATTGTGCATAGAAACTAAGACGATAGTTGGTCAAAGGAAGGTGCACATCTTTCTAGTGAAAATTCTTATCAGGATGTGGAACATAGTGACGTTAAATCGTGATAAATCTTACGTATACTTATTGGAATCAAAGTATCTGTGAAGATGCCATTGAAAAAAAAAATAGATACCTGAAATTTTTTCTACTAATATTACTACATCAACTTGCGATGCTATGACACAAAAATTGGTTGAAATATATTACGTTTAGTATAAGAAGATGCTCCATTAATCATATATTCGAACACTTACGATTGTCATTCTTTCATTATGAAACGATCACGAAGGAAAGAAAGACATAAGAAAAGTTCGCAGTAGATACCAGTATATTATACTGATATTTCACTCAAAACTTTCTGATGTTTTACTAATTGTTTTTGTTGAATATTCTATTAGTGAGTGTTTTCAATTCAGTATAGAACAACGATTGAAAATGATTGTTCAGACAGTTTTGTTGGGATTGGAATCAATTGTATTACTGACATAGTTCGTTTCTTACGGATTATATTATTTTGAAATATATCGAAAGACTCTAGAAAAATCTAAAGATTTTCTATCATATCTTTATGGTTTTCTTATTCAGTAGCTTTTCCATTTAATGCGTTATTAATGAAAATAGAAAACAATAAATGTTGAAACAGTGACGCACTTAGAGGAGAAGAAACGATCGTGTCTCTGTTTTGAAAATTTCTTTGCCTTTTCTCAGCAGAATAATTGCAAAAATGAACCGACACTTTCTTTAATAAACTTCAAAACATATTCTTTGACCATGAATTGCTCCTGAAGCATCCTTATCTACCGAAATTTTAGCTCCACCATTGTGTTGAAACAACTAGAAATATGCTTCATTACATAAATTTATGATTAAACAACTCAGATTGATATTTGCTTTATATAACAACAGATTATTGACCAAAAAGTCAGCGACAGATTTTCCCCTTCCTTCTTCAGGAGGTTCAAATCTTTGATAGTATAGTATTTCGTTTTTTCTTGTTAAAAATACTCTTTTATTATTCGATATCCTTCTATTTTCAATACTTTAAGACAAGTACGTGTCCTTATCTTTATAGTATATTTGCATTGAATCATTTATTGTGTAATTACAAAAATATTTTGATTAATATATAAATACGAAACAAATATTAGATGATTTATTTTTACACAATGGACTTTATTCAACATCCATCATATTCCGAACAAATGCATGATATTGGATTGATCTTATCAAAATTAACAATGGAAAATATGAATAAACTTTTGGAACGATTTGAACTACAATGCATTTCTTTTGAACGTTTACAAACATCAGGACGTATTAATTTGATTTTTAATTTAAAAGCTCAATCAAAAACTTCTTCATATGTTGAATTCATACTAAAAATATCAAATCCTCATTATTATTGGAAAGAATATCGTATTAAAAATGAAGTTTATACAATGCAATATTTACTTGAACATACAACAATTCCTTTACCAAAAATATTTGATTATTCTATTGATTTTAAAACAAGTATTTTATCATGTGAATATATATTAATGGAAAAAATTCATGGAAATACATTAGAATCTGTTATTGAAAAAATGTCTGATCAAACTTTGATTAAAACAGCAATAGAAATGACTGATTATATTAAACAATTACGTCAAATAAAATTACCACAAACAAATAAAATTGGTTCGTTTTGTAGTAAAGAAATGTTTCTTGGTGGATCTATTGAAGATGGTCCTACACTAGGACCATTTATTAATTTAAAAGAATATATAATTCAACATTTACAATGGGCTATACAACGAATTCAAACAGATAAACAATTATTTCAAATTGGAGAATATTTAATATTATCATTACAAAAAATAATTGATTGTGCTCAAATAGATTCAAATTTGTCAAATCCAGAGATTAAATTTCATATTACTCATACAGATTTAAATTCATCAAATATTTTAGTTGATGAAAATACTGGTAAAATTTTAGCAATACTCGATTGGGAAAAATCTGCAATGACATTTAATAATGATGATATTGAATTTCTTTCACATTGGTTTGAAGATAATCAACGGGATAAACAATTTCAATCACTTATTCAACAAGAACAAAATTATCTTGACTTACTCAATGATACATGTAATATGTACAAAATACAATCGTATTTAGATGTTATGTATCCAGCTATGTATGCCACATTCTACAGTTGCACTTGGTTTGAATATGAACAAATAGTGATTGAACATATTAAACAATTTTTACAAGAAACAGAAGATGCTATTATTGCATTCAATAAGGATATCTTAGATGAAAATAAATAAATAAATATAAACAAATTTCTTTCTTCTTTTTCTTCTATGAAATATTAACTATAATATAGAGGAAACAAAATGATTCGACAAACAATTTTGAACTTTTAGATAGATAGATTATAATGATTAAAGTACAAGTTGTCATAGAATAAAAATATTCAAGTGTTTACTTTTACAAGATACAATAGCAGACAGTCATTAAAATGATCATAAGTGCTCTTTATATAGAGAATATTCATACATCATTTTATCGGACGAAACATTTTTTTTTTCAGTTTCGTATGTGGCATCAAATATGAATGTATGTATGTTGTTAAGATCGTAAATTTTGTAAAATTAAATAAATTTCAAATGACAAAACATGTATTCTCATATAATTGTAGGATTCATAAAAAGTTTCAGTTCAATCCATTGTATCGCAAAAGGAGAAAAAAAAAAGCAAAAAATAGACTTCTACTTCTCAAACTATAATAACTATACGAAAGAAAAACAACTGAAATTAAATTGTAACGTCCATTTTGATTTGTCGTCAATTAGATTCAGCTATTATTATTATAACATATAACAATGATTATTAAATATTTACATTTATTGTTGTGCTATTTAATTGTTGCATATTAACTGACACTTAATGCTCTGTTATGATTGATATTAAATCAATATTTTTAAAAACTTCCATATATTTTAGTTTAACATTATAGATTTGATAAAATTCAAACTCTAGTATTTCTTCTGTTCATTCTTTTTCTTGGAATCACAGATGTGTTTATCTTTCTTTTCTTACATAGATTAACATAAATCTCTTTTCATGAATACATCAATAAATATGATTACAATAATTTATTATGAATTTCATAGAATCCTGCAAATATGAAAATGAAACAATCAATAGACACTGCAGAAAAAGTTTCATTTCGTGTGTCTTATATAAATTTTAAATCATTTTTTCCATTTTCAAACTCGTATAAAACATGATATCTTTTTCGATTTTCTTTTCTAATTGATTTCATACTATTATGCCTCATCAACAAGAATGTATGAGTATTTTGTCAAAAGATAGATCATTTGCAGCAGACGTGAAAAGAAATATGATAGTGTAATGGCAAATGCATAGTTTCAATGATATGTCAGCTGTTTTTCACTTCGAATTGTTTTTTTTTTTTTTTTGTTATTGATCAATGTACATAGATTTTCAATATGGGTTAGTCAATTTCGATATCATTCTTTAGAATTAGAACAAAACTTCACTTTTACACTTCAATATTAAATGTGTCGTATGTTTCGTACGTTGTAACACAGTATAAAAGATATGCAACTATGATACGGCATATCGACTGCAGTACATTTTTCCAAGAGAACCTACAACACATTTCGAATATGCTGTTCGAATCTAGTGTTCGTCACATCTGCCATTTGTTCTGTAAAAATGAATATTTAATAGTTTTTCAGTATAATTCGAATTAGTAATACCTTTTGTTTGATCCCAAGACAGTAAGATCTTATAAGATCGATTTGTATCGAGTCAGTTTGATCTTTGTTAGATCGCTTTGAGGCAATCCATTTTTGACCGTTGATCGATTTCTTAATGTATTCTCAAAAGATGATTCATTGAGATGTGATTTAGAAAAGTTAGCTATATCTCTAAAAATTTATAACTTGAGTATGGTTAATTAAATCGGTTATATGTAGCTGTGTGCACAATGCAAGAACGGTGAATGAATGTATATCAGATAGACTATGGCACATCTATAATCTGATATATTTTCGTAATAAAATCTACGACATTATCACGATCAGCACATTTTATTTAGTTGTATCTTGTTTTTCTCTCTGCATGATTTATTGCAAAACTTTCATTTCATTTTCATAAAAGCAAAATGCAAATAAATTCACTCAGCACCTGCTAGCTAAGTAAAAAAAAATAGCATAACACACCCACAAGTAGCTATTGACATATTATGCGTATTTGCTGTTAGCATCATTATGACGATTTATAAACTCTATGATATAGAATATATATATATGATTTGATCTGACAAGCACAATACAAGTAGAGAAAGATAAAAAATAGAAGACTTTTATCGCCGACGAGAGAGGAGAGAGACAAGAATCGAACTCACGTCTATAATATGCAGGGAGTGGGAATGACAGCGTTGGCGGGCAATTTGAAATAAAGAAACGAACAGAAAAAAAGGAATATAATGGGCATGCATAGAAAGATACAGGCAAGCAATAAACATAACACTTTCAGCGTCATAACCAAAGAGTCACCACGCATACACATACACACACACACACTCACACGAATATATCTTCACGTCTATCAAACATCCTTATTTCGATAGAAACTTACAAGGTAATTTATCTGGTTATATTATTTCATAGTTATAACATGACAAATCAAGCGTAGAGAAATATTTTTTAGGATTTTCGTTACATAACTGAAATAATACTTGACATAGACAATCAGATAAACAATTTGATAGAGAAGTTCAAATAGAAGCTTTTAACTTATCTCTAAGTATCGTACGATTGATTGTTGTAAATATGATCAATATTTTCATTCAATTAATCATATAATTTAGTCAAAGAACAGCTAATTTCGGCGATCATATTATAAGTCTTGAATAATTTTTTTGCAAATATACGAAAAATTTTACTTATCACTAATACATCATATCCTTCACATTCTCACGCTTATTTTATATTCTTTTATTATAGAAGACACAGTTTATATCTTCCTTCATCTATCTCTATAGTCTATTTCAATTGATACATAGTCAATAAAATGTTAAACTTTTTCTATTCTCGATATTTGTTTGAACACTACTTTCAATTTGCTGGTTTTATTTACTTTTCATTTATTGACTTTTTCTTACAATTGCTAATAGCAATCATATATATGTTTAAAAAAAAACATCAAACTTCAATTCTTTTCTCTTTTTTAATATCTTCAAATTCATATTAAAGTATTTCTAACCAAACATGATACACAATTCTATGTCAAACTATTTTCCTATGTCCCTTGAATTTGATATAAGTTAGTAACAATTGTATGAAGATGGAGCAAATATTCTTTCGAGGAATATGTCTTCATCTACATTAGATATATCGTCAATTGTAAAAGATTTTAAAGATAATAATGTTGAATCAATAATGATTCTCAATCATCAATAAAATGAAGATGAAGATTTAAATCGTGAATTATTAATTAGAAATAATATTTCTTCATTCAATTGAAACATCGTTTGTTTTTTATTTTATACATTTAGAATTGTATACAGAATTGTTCTTGAAAAGATAAGATTAGAACTGAGGAAAAAAAAATCTATTTCAAAAGAAAAGCAAATCTTGTTGTTTTCCAATGTATGATGACAGATGCTATTTTCACATAAGCATGATTAAATCTACATTTTTTTTTCTCTTACATCAATACTGAATATGCGTGCGTGCGTGTTATTTGCTAAAACATAACATTAAAATGTCATAAAAATGCAAAGTGAATATAAAGATATACAACTGTTTCATCTCTCTTAAGTCAATATAAAGTAACTAGCCAGAGGGAAAAGAGAGTATATCTTCATTACTGAACTCATTCGAAAAACAATTTGTTATCATACAAAAAGATTTAACATGAATCACAACGTGGTGAAAAAAGCAGAAAATGACAGAGATAAATATTATTATAATGATCTTATTATCATTTATATTTTTGTGACAATAAACAGATTGTTATGAACAGAGAGGAACTTTGTTTTTGCTCTTTCTCTCACATTTAAATGATAATATGTAACTTTTACCATCTAGAAGTTAAACAATCGCAGCATTCATTTTTATCGTTCTCCAAGCAACAAAATTGAATTATCTTGAGCCAGTTACACCTATTTTTCTAGAAGTATTTTCTATAACATGAATTAAATTTCAATATTTAGATATCGTACATAACAATAATTGAGACTTGTAGATAGATTTATAACCTTTGATTAATAATCAAAATAATGAGATTGTAGTCGAACGTTTATCTCCTATAAGATCTATTTGAATCTTTTTGTTTTTATAGAATCTTCTCCAGCAGCAATGTCAACTAGTGTGTGTGTATATTCTTCACCAATCCGTTTGAATGATCATCGTTCTCAATATCTTGATGCATTTGATCATTATCCACAAATAATCATTGAAAATAATAGTAATAATGATAATAGTACAAAAGAAGAAACAACAAAAACTAGTCGAAATATGTTATCAAATGATTTGAATGAAGATGAACATTGTCAAATTTGTGGAGATTTAGCATCTGGATGGCATTGTGGGTTAGTTAATTATATTGATTTATTTCATTTTTATTTTTGATCATTTTTTAGAGCAATAACATGTGAAGCATGCAAAGTAAAATAAATTTTGAATAAAATATTTCTTTTTGTTTGTAAAATACATAAAAATAATAATTTTAGAAATTTTTTTTACGTTCAATTTCAACATGTGATGGAAAGAAAAAATATAAATGTCAAAAAGAATTAAGATGTTCAATAACAAAACGTTCTCGAACTCAATGTCAATATTGTAGATTTCAAAAATGTATTTCTGTTGGAATGAAAGCTCATAGTAAATTTTCTTTTTCTATGTTTATTATTATCTTTATCTTATAAAAATAATTTAAGAATTGATAGGATCAAAGACAGAAGATTTATATAAAAAATTACCATGTCTTATTTGTAAAGCATCAGCATCAGGTATTCATTTTGGTGCTGTTACATGTGAAGCTTGTAAAGTAAAATAAAAGAAAAATCTTTGAAGAAAATTCATTTCTTATATAATAAATTCTAAAGGGTTTTTTTCGTCGATCAATAAAAGAAAATGCTCCTGAACGATATCATTGTACTGAAAATAATAATTGTGAAATAATTTCAACATCAAAAATAACTTGTAGAGCATGTAGATTTCGAAAATGTATTGAAGCTGGAATGTCTATGAATGGTAAGTCATATTTCTTTTTTTGTTTTTTGTTTAAATTCAAAAATTTTTAAATTTAATTTTAGCTTCTCGTATTGGTCGACAATCAAATCTTTTTAAAGAAAGGTAAATTTAAAATAAAAATAATTATAAATTTTCAAGATTAATTAAATAGTATTCGACAATTACAAAATAATTCAACAACAATGGCAACTGTGACAGATTCAGCTCGTATTGCATCAATAGCTAAAAGACGAAAAACTAAGACTAGAATTGAAAGAAGTAAGAAAAATATATTTTACAGAACGGAATATGTAAAACTTTTTTATTTTAGTATTTGCATCAGATCATGAAATTGATATTGAACTTTCACCAACAATAAAAGAATTTATTGAAAAAGTCTATAATGCTTATCTTATCTATTTAAAGGTACTTTTTTTTTTACAATCATTCTTCTTTTGTTATTAAAAAAAAGCAGAGATAATTCGATTGTCTTTGATAAAATCGTTTTATTTTTGCTTCATTTATCTACAGGATTTACCTCGATGTATTCCACATGAAACAGTTTGGTCAACAATGGCATCACAAATGATTATTTATGCTCAAGCAATGATGAATTTTTGTCAAAGAACAATACCGGGTAACATACATCATCATTTACTGGTTTATTGTATGTCCTTGTCGTATTGATGATGTCGTCCTCCTCCATTTATGTTGTTGTTTTTGAAATTTTTTTAAATGGTCTATTCCCTTTCACGACATATACAGTGAAAGTGAACAGATTAATCTTTTAAATTTTTGCTTTTTTTTTTTTTTATTTATTTTTAATTAAAAATTATTTTATTAGGTTTTACAAATATGTCTAATAAGTATGAAATCATATCATCATCTATTAATTCTGTTATTATGGTAACATTATTAGCTGAAAAAACATTTCTGAAATCTTCATATGAAAATATTCAATCAATATGGAATTATTGGCAAGCTGATTCAACATTATTAATGGAATTAAATACACATATTCCACAATTAACACAAGCAGAAAATTTATTTCGATCATTTGAATCTACATTACGAGATCTTCATTTCGATGAAAAAGAATTTTCTCTTCTTTTATTAATGATTATTACTCGACATAGTAAGAATAAGTTTTAATTAGACAAACAAAGACAAGGTTTTGCTTTTTATTTATAAGACTTGAGTTTAATTAATGAAGATAATAAATCATGGTCAAAATATCAATATGAATGTGTTCATGCATTTTCTGAATATATGCAAAGTAAATATAATCATTTTTCTTTATTATTCATTTGAAAATCATTGATATTTTAGCTCGTCGATCGAATATTAATGGAGAACTATCAATTGAATTTTATGATATTGTTTTTTTGGTATCTCAACTTCGTTCATTAAATTGTCGTATAACTCAATGTTTTATAAATTTTCCATGGCCATATGTACGAAATTTACCTTCATTTTTTTATCGTATTTTTTTACCAAGTATTACAAATATGTCATCAATATTAAATAGTAATTATGATCCATTGTCATTGTCGCCTGTGAAGTCATCATTTAATAGTACTAATCGTTATGATACCGAGTTATTTAGCGATACTTTAAATAGTAATTCAATTGATGTTAGTATGTGTCATGATCTGTGTTGGAAATACTAAGCTCGTATTGTCTGGATGTGTATTTTCTTCTTCTTTCTTCTCTTGTCTCCTCTGACACCTAGCCGTCTTTTTATCCATAAATAAAAACGCATGTCTTATTTTGTTTGTCCTTTTCGTATGGTCTCACACACTACTCGAATTAAAAGTGAATTCAACAACGTGATTGATGTAAAATTTAAAATACACATAATTCATCTTATTCGAGACAATTTAATTTTTAATGCGCCCATCTAATCGTAGGCCAAGTGAACAGAACAAAACAATGAAAGACATATATATATATATATAAATAGAGAGAAAGGAATGAAAATGATATTGCTTGGATGTGCTCGTTATTTCGAAATAGCATACTATTTCACTATTTGAGAGTATATTTTATTCCTATATTTTCATCACAGTATATAGGCTATACTCAATTCTTTGTTTTAAGCTTATGTGTCGATGTGTATGTAGTTAGTTGTTGTATCGTTTCTCATGAAAGAAAGAAATAAAAATTTAAAGGCAAAATCTTAACAATATATTAACAAACTATTTGGAAACAACAAGAAATATTACATCGAATAATGAAGCCAATTATTGAATCTACTTCACAGTTCTCTCTTAAATCCTTTGAGTTTCTTTTAGAAATGAGACGCTCCTATATTATAGGTGAAGAAAATATTTCCTCGTTCAGTTTCAAACGGGAACTAAGATTTCCTAACAAATCTTTTCTGACTTCCTACTACTCGAACAATTGGTATTTTATCAGATGATATAATTGTTTCAATTCGTAGGTAATATGATGGATTCATAACCATTGTGTTTCTCATTTTATTAGACGATTTTGAAGTGCTGTGTGATATTTTTCAAGACATTGTTTGTTAGATAGAATTAGAATTTTTCAATATTTTTTATATCTTCATGTATTACTTCTTGTCGTTCAAATGATATTTAAAAACAATTTACATTTTTTTATACTCATTATTTTTGTAATTGCCTTGATATATTGACAATTTTCTATATGTGTTCAATCAGCGGATTGGCTAAGAAAGGAACAATAAATATCAAGGCATTTAGATATTGACAAAATATGGCTATTAGCCGTTTTTCTTTGGATTCTGTTCTTCATTTCCCACGTGCTGCAATGTTTATGCGTCTGTACACAAACAAGACTACGATCGATAAGAACAGATAAGGATAGACAATATATAAAAAATAAAATAAAAAGAGAGCATTTACAAGGAGAACATTATTGCACACGGGTTGTAAGTAACATAATATCATTGGCTATTGTAAAATCAAAGTTTTGTTTTGCATTAAAATTAAATTTGTAAATGTCCGAAACATTTGTTAATCGTTCTTATTATTCACCATTATCCAATGAAATTGCATCATGGCAACGTGATTATACACCTGGACCACTTACTCAAAATGAGTTTTATCAATTTTTTCAAGATGGTTTTGTCATTAAACGTAATTTATTAAAACGAGAACAATTAGAATCAGTAATTCATGGTATAGAACAGTTAGTCGATGAATTGGCACAAGAGCTTTATCGAGCGGTAATAATTTCTCTGTCGAAGAGTTAAATATATTTTAAATGATTGTTTAATATATCAGGGTAAAATTCAAGATCTACATGAAAATGATGGTTTTTATCAACGGTTAACGGCAATTGACGCACAATTTCCAGGTGCTGCTGTTCTTCTTCATAAACGTGGTGTTTTACCATCAGAAATTGCATCATTATGGTCGAGTGAGACATTACTTAGTGTTGCTAAACAATTACTTGGACCTGATATTGCTGGACATCCTGTTTGGAATTTAAGAACAAAAGTAGAGAAAAATAGTTCTTAAGAATATTATTCATAGTTTTTCAGGTACCCAATCAAGAACAAGTCACTGTTCCTTGGCATCAAGATGCTGCTTGTAACGTTATCTTCTATTTAACATTCATAATTTTTGATGATTATATTTAGATTTACATAAAGAATGTTGGAATGTTCTTCAAGTAACAGCATGGATTCCATTATTAGATACAAATGAAGAAAATGGTTTGATTTATCTAAATTTAGTTTGAATTGATTACGATAATCAAATATATGTTTTGTCCTTTCGAAGGATGTTTACAAGTGGTACCTGGTGCTCATCGTTCAGGTCAAGTTTGTAAACATAATTGTTGTACTGGTAATACATGGTATATTGAAGTACCTGTTGAAGAAATGTCAAAAACATTGAACATTTCAGTTAATGAACAAACAATATTTACATGTGAAGTACCATTTGGTTCGGTTTTATTTTTCAATAATTTAATTCCACATAAATCAATGGAAAATTATAGTCAAAATATACGATGGAGTTTAGATTTAAGATGGTAATTATTAAATTCTTATGAATAATTATTGAGTCTTATGAATTTCATTTAATAGGCAAAAACCAAATGAACCCAATGGATTTTATGGTTTGAAAGATAATATACTAATGGTTAGAGGTGATGATGAAAATTTTAAGCCAGATTTGGATAAATGGTCAAAGATTAGTAGAACAAAATTACAAGAAGCTGTTGTTCAAAAATCTATTCAAAATGAAATACCAGAACTAAAAGAACGACAAAAAGATGATCCATTTGATACAACAATAACAGGACCATGGATGCATCAGTGGCCAATTGTACACCATAATAAGCATACAAAAAAATCAATAACAAATACTACTAGTTGACATACATCGTAAGAAAACATATTTATTTTCGTAAAAATGACTGAATGTTATTTTTTTCTTTCTTTATAAACAATACTAAATAAATCTAAATTTGAAGAGTTCATAACACTTGATGCATGTACAAAGATAGTTATTTATTCTTATCTTGTTATTTGTTTTTTAATTGTATATATCTGCAAGGATTTCTTGCTGCTATTGTCATGATCAATAATAAATAAATGATGACTACAACTCGTGTATTTCATCTTATTGTGTTAAAGGTATACACTATTATTGTTTTCACCCATGATACAATTCATTATTGAATTAAATACGATTCATCTGACGGACTTCGCAATATGATTTAATTTTATTCAAATTAATTATGCTCGTAAATTATCTAAAGAATTTATTTCAAAAAAACTTGTTTTATATATCCATGGTATTGTGATGCATTTAGAAGTTTAACAAATGAATTCGAAACTCCTTTAGAACAAATTCTTGTTTGAAATTTAAAAAAAAAAAAAAAAAACATGAACAGTTTATCATACATTGAGAGCTAAAAAAGTTTTCATACATTAGAATTTCTTGTTTACGAAAGTAATCTAAAAGAAAATAATCAATAAATATTTATGTATGATTTAAACACTCTGTTTACTGATGAAAGAAGAAAATAAGTTTTATTTGATGCACTTTTTTTTGTTAGATTTTTTATTTAGAGATCAGAGAAACAAATAATAATCAAGTTCAATCGTGTTTTTTAATGAGAATATTTTGATTTTTGAACTATGTTGAATGATAAATAACATCAATAGGTTTTTTTGTGTATTTTCTTTTTTCATCATAATTAAATCTACCAATCAATATAATACATTATAGATTTATTCTTTTTTTTTGACAATGATATGTGAAACGACATGAAAAACATTAAAAAGTTCATTTTCTTGTTTTCCTTGTATTTTTATTTTCCACACAATGTATTTTGCTAGTATGGAGAAAAGTTATTTATCATGACTTTGCACGCAGCTCAATCGTTGGGTTCATCATTTATATTACAAAAAAAAAAAAAAAAAAATAATTTTCTGTGAGAATATTATTTCAATGACGATGTATACTTTCTTGATAATCTTTTTAGTTTTTCATTGCTTTGATAGAATATGAACTTTATTAATGAAAATGTCTTCTTTCGTGTCGAACATATAAATATAGTGATTTACTTCTTCATTTATTGGTATTATGTATCGCAAGAGACCACCATTTTGTTTACATTGTGATAATAATGAACTCGATTACATATATCAAAACTTGAAAACTATATGTAGGCTAAATATATGCTCTGTTAACAATTTTTGTTCATCCTAACACTACAAAATTATCAATAAATATATTGAAGAAGTTGTAAGAATATAATTTATTTGAAATAATACGATGAACTATGAGTTGTTACGAATTGATTTTTCGAAAATGCTGAATTACAATAAAACATATAAAACTCGGTGCTTCTTATTTTCTTACAAATAATGAGTAAATATTAAAAGTACATTGCATCTTATTCGTTAAATTCTGTATATAATGCTGTGGAAATATTTCTTCCTTTAATTTATCCATTAACTTAATTAAAGTTTTGTAATATGTAAGATAAGGAATTATTCACGATGGAAATTGTGACATAATAATGTCCAGAAGAATATATGACCGAGAATGGCAAACTCGAGAAAACCTATGCAGAGAAAATGAATGATTTGCAAGTCGATTGATCTAGTTTTTCAAATTAAATATAATTAATATTACTTTCTCATGATTTCATATTTAATATATGTAAAATCTTTGATTTTTTTTAATACAGAAAAGTATTTCGGAGACGTGCTTTTATCAATTTCAAAATGTGTTTATGAGGGACAACTCCTTGAATATTTTTATGCATAGAGTAGAATAGATTTTCTTTATTGTTCACTTTATCATATAAATAGTTTTCATTATTATTATTATCGAGATTAAACAATAAGAAGAAACATTCAAGATATTTGATTATACCAGGATAATTCGATTGTGACTGTTTAAAAAAAAACTGAAATAATATCGATTACGTAATTATGAAGCAAATCATCATTTATCTGCATTATCTATTAACTATCTTTTGATAGTTTTTACGTCTTTCATACGTAATTGATGAGAGAGCTAATAAAGATAAGAAAAAAAATGAATTGTAATTAAAAAATGATAATTAACAAAGTAAACAGTGGGTATAGATCATGAAAAGACAATGATATATAAAAGCGAAGGAAAAAGAAACCAAGAAATTGAAAATGAATTATAGAGGAGTATCTTTATTATAGATTTAATTTTGAATGACAAAACGAATACAAAAATATTTTCTTTATCCTTATTTATTAGATTAAAAACAGGGAAAATAATATTACCTTCATTTAAAAAGAAAATTTCTGTTAGATTAATCGAAAAAATATTATTGAAATAAACATATTGAATATTACAAGTTTCAATGTTCCTGGTTAAGATGATTCAATTTCTAATAAACTCAATTCTCTTCATCATTTCTCATGGAAAATTTAAACACAAACAAATTATACGGAGAAACGATTCAAAATGACTGAGATTGAATGTTTCACTTTTCACATTTCTGTCGTATATAATTATTTTTTTTATAGCAAAGATATATAAATAATCTGAATAGATATATTGTACATTAACAATTGTACTTTTATGATAGAGAACAAAACTTGATCAAAAAATCAATGATGAGAAATACAAGATTCATTACTGTAAAGTGCATGTCTAACTTCTTTTTAAATATGAAACAAAAATGTTTTATTAGAGAAATAATACGTAAATATGCTTGTTAAAATAAATAAAATTTCAGAAGTTTATTAGAATTCATTGAATGAAAAAAATTATAAGAAGAATGTCATTTTACAAGTGAATAAATTTATTTTTGTGTCTTTTGTTCTTGGATTCCAAATTGTTGTTGCTGTGGGGGTGGTGGTTGTGGTTGTGGAATATTTGCTGCTGTTAATGATGCTGGATTCGTGTCAAATCCAACAGCTCGATAACCCGCACTATTTGAATTTGGTGATGTTATTCCTGGATCTAGTGTGGCTCTCCAGCTTGAAGAGCCAGATGAAGGACCGGCATATGCTGGACGCATTTCTACGTTGATAATATTAATACAGTGTCTATATATGGAATACGAGAAATGGTAATTAAAAACACGATATACACGTATCTTATAGACATGCTGCTATATATATATATATAACTGATATATTAGCCTACACAAACAGAATAGGAGGAGGATAGCAACCGTCGCCAAAATAGGAATTATGTATTCTTATTTATAACAGAAATATCTTTTTTTTTACTGGCAAATTGTTTTGATTATTAGCCTTGTTTTTTTTACCCTCTGACCAGAAGGCCCTAAAGGGACACCAATTTAAGAATATATGTACATCATAGTGATATAAAGAAATACAAAAAGAAAGAAAGAAATACAAAAAGAAAGAAAGAAAAAAAAGATGATAGACATCAGGCATATTATCTGAGAAAAAACAAAATAAATGTAACATAACAGGTAGAAACTGACATATTATACTAAAAGATAATACTTAAATACACAATTTAAAGTGAAAATAAGGAGAAAATGATTACACTTGAATGTCTCTGGCAATTTCGTATAACATTTGATATCTTCCACATCAATAATCACTACCGAATTTGTTCAGCCGCAATTTGATAACCATTCCAAAACACGACTAAATACGTCTGTATATGGCACAAATCATTTGGAACGATAGAGAGCATGAATTGATCCTCTTCCTTCTTGCCACTCCGAACGGTTCACATTCAGATAGGATTGCTCGAGCAACAAATAATCATCCAAACATTCCGCGAGCCTCTTCAAGCATTTAGTCCAGTATCCATACCAAGATTATCGAGAGAACGTTCTCTATAAGCAAATGCGAAAAATAAATCGTTCCGGTATTGAGTGTAGTATACTCATTTAAGTGATACATAATAGAAATCGTTAAGATTTGTTCGTTGTAGATCTATAAACAAAGGATATAGCACATAAAGCCATATAAAGAATGGTAGTACGAATGTTGAAAAAAGAGCTCGACGTTACTGGCAAATTATTGCCAGATATGAGCTTCAACAATAGGTAAATCAAAAATACTTTCATTATTGTCCGTCAAGATCAAAACAGACAAAAAAAAATTGTCAAAATATCACTAACTAGATGCACTTGTGATAATTTACTTCGATTAAGAAATACTTTCACGCTATGTATCATTTATTAATAAAGGAAAAGAAATTAAAACTTGAAAGAATCTAAATATGCCTTACAAAAATTTAGAAGAAATCATGTTCTAAACGTGATAGACATCAATTTAGTTTCCTTTCGTTCAAAGTCAGAGTCATTATCAATTAGAATGTACATATTATAAGTAATGGTGATTATTTTTTGAATACTGAATTCATCTTTAATATATAAATTTCATAGAATAATTTTTCCTATAAAGTAACGAAAAATTCTAATTAAAAAGTAAATATCTAATTTACATTATTATAATGTTTATATTTATTGATAAACAGAAAGTTCATAATAATAGAATTTTTTCTCTTTAACTATTCTTTTTTTGTTCAATACAATACAAAATTCAATACCGACCGAGTTTATTGAAATCTATTAATCTTTTTCAAAACGTACGTTACAAATTATTTTATTCATTTCAAAATAAAAAATCATATTGAATATGAGCTCTATTCTAGAAAAATGATTGACAAAATAAAAGAACATTTATTATTAAAATCGAATGTTGTACAATATAATCATCAAATAAGAAAATGTAATTAATATCTTTTAGATTTTTTCATCAATAGTTTGTGAAAGGTAAAGCTTTTAAATCACGACTAGGGATTATTTGTTAAATAGTACGTAAAAAAAAAAGAAAGATTGATGATACATATTCCAAATGAAGAAGAAAAAAAAGAATGGCATGTGACATTGTCAATATTATTTTTAGTAGCAAATAAACAAGATTATTATGTAAGAAAAAAAAAGCAAAAATAAACTGACATGTGCTACTGTCTATGTTGTAGGTCACAAATAAGAGAAGAAACAACAACAACTTGATTAAACAATATAATTATATACTTAAAATAAAGATATTGATTTAAAAATGTACCATTTTTTTTCAACATTATGTCGAATTAAGAAAAAATGACAATTTTTTATCATAATTAATTATTATAGAAGATGAATTCGAGTCAAATTTAGTACAACTGTATCAAAATGCTTCTTTGAGAATAAATAGGTTTCTACAAAATTAACTGTTGAAAAGTTAATTTTGTATTTTCTTAATAATTAAAGTATTTATTTAAACAGATGATTTTGTTATTTGATACAATATAATTTATTCATTTTCCAAAGATTGAAGCTAAAGACACTTTATTTCATTATATTATGATATCGATTTGAAGATATTTTCAAATCACTTGACGAATAGAAACTACACTAAAAAATTAGTTCAATAAAATCTAGTTGTTTGTTGTTAGCATTGAATCTCTTACTATACAATTAGTAAAGAAATTTGCTCGTAGTTGTAACAAAAAAAAAATCGCTGTTATTATTACTGTTTAATTAACAATCTACGTCAATAATGTTGAAAAAAAAATCGATAGTACATTCTTGTTTTTATCGAACTCTTACATGATTAAAAGTGCTTCATTTATTATTTTTTTCGAATACTGTATCGAAGTCGGAAGTGAATCATCAAATAAGATAAGTTACCACCAGTTTTTCTGATTATTGTACTGAAACAAAAATACTCTCTTATGATTTAGTAAAAAACATGTTTGTATGCTTTAGTATCCAAGAAACTCTGCATACGGTTAATATAATGTTGTCATAGAAATTCTTTTTTTCAAAGAATATTTAACGTAATCATTTTTCATAATATGATGTCACAAATAATGACATACATTATCTTCGTTGAAGGAGTAATATTATGATAAACAATTCTAAATGTCGCGGACTGTGAGAGACAAATAACGATATTTTATCATTTATTGACAAAACAGGTGAAAAAATGAACAGACTAGTCAACGTCATCTGCTTGTCAATCGTAATATACAACTTTCTCTTTAGATAATAACAATGTTGATTCATCAATTGATGATTCATAATAATGGCAATATATAAAAAAATTCATAGGAGAATTGCTGAAAGCTTGACATTAATCATTTGAATTTTTTTAGACACGAATATTTTTTTTAATATTATTCGATGGCAAAATTTTATGAAAATCTACAGGTAATATTTTAGTCTAGAAATATTTATTCACAAAAAGTTCAACAGATAAAATTTTATTAAATATTCATGCATTTTTCATATATTTCTTATTGATAAATCAAAGATTTTAATTAATTTTTATTATATTCTTGTAGAAGTCGCTTACAAGTTATGAAGATAGACCTAAAGCAATTATAACAGAACAAACATTCAGCGAATCTGCATATCTCATTCGTGGCAAAGATCGAAGAAGATCAGCATGGTATTATATTCTTATTCCTGCTAATAAATTTGCTGATCTTAAAGTTCTACAATCAGATACAAAAATTGATATTCCAAATTTTGGCCGCTTGATTGAATATCTTGATAATCGAGATGAAATTAAACCAATGTCTGGATGGGGAATTAATCCACCTAAAATAATTCAAACATGGATTGCAGAGCATTATGGTAAACAAAAGTATCTCTTTTTATTTTTGAAAGAAGGGAACATGATAAATAGTAATAGATATCACAAAATAATGATAGTTAAACCTCACTGTATCAATTATTTTTACTATTGGTGAATAAAAGTTTCAGTCTTTAAGAGAACATCTTTTCTAATCAAATATTTTTCGATTTTTACTTTTATGTCTGGTATATATATTTAACCCTTTCACGGCAGAATTATTTTTAGAAAACATAAAGTAAAAATCAATTGTTAACATGGTACACTTTGAAAATTACAAAAAATATTTAAAAAGGCGTCTTGTACTATATTTCGATTTCGCCTTGTCAAATGGTTAAATGCCTTCTATCTAATGAGTAGATTATGCGAAGTCAAAATTCTTTTGGATCTAGAGAAAATTTTGACGAAAAACTCGATTTTATGCAAAAAAAAGTATCAAGTGCAGCTTACTTTCTCAAAAATTAAATTTTTAAAACATAAAGTTGAAGTTTTTTCTTCGTTTTTTGCTACATCTCTCAACTGATTTGGCTCAAACCGTTTTATTGGATATTTTGATCAAATTAAAGTATGTAATTCTTTTTCTCTCTTGAAAAAAAATCTACCGATGAAGTTAAGTAAATTCTACAAAGCTAGTACCATTCGAAATACAAGTATCTTGAATGATGTTTTTTTAAAGTTTGTCTCTAATACTTTGGTTATATTGAGTTGCAAGAACAATATTTTTCAGAAGAAGAAAAAACACCACATAGTCAACTGTTATTCTAACTATTGATTGTATGAAGGTGAATTTTGTCTATTTTTCATGATATATTGTATAGATTCAGCATCTATTGATGAAAACATTAGTTTGATTTACGAAAAAGATGATATTCGATTATGTACAATGCAACGTGCAATTCCAGAACAGAAGTTAGGCTTTTTTCTATGTTATTATCGAAAACAACATTTTTATTATATCAAGTTTTATGATGATTCAGAATCGAGTCTGGGGTATCGAGCAGGCATCAAAAATTTTGATCGAATCATTGTATTAAACGGTGTTAATATTGAACAAGATACAATAGATCAACTCTTGAGACGTTTCAATGTTGATCGACATCTTCCAGTTCAAATGCTTGTGTGCAGTCCAGCTACATATGCTCACTATAGATCGAATGAAAAGCTTTTGCATAGTGATCTTCCAACTGTTCAACATTTGAAACCTGTATATGCTACATCAAGTAACTAATATATATATCTAATTGTCTCTTGTATTCTAATTATTATTTCAATTATCGATTTAATTGTAGTGTCGGACTTCAATAGAGATACACCAGAAATTTCTGTTGATAATGAAAGTTTCTATGCTGTACAGTGGGAAAATGGCAGCATTGTTTCTACAGTACCTCAATCAGCGATTTTCAAATCATCTGAATTTACTAGTTTAAATGATATCTGTTTTATCGAAACAGAAGGACAATATCGAAAAGGACAAATTATTTTTCAAGGTTTGTCGTTATTATACATTGAACATTATTTAAAAAAGAATTTTTCTTCATTTTCAGGTTCATATGATGATTGTGAAAAATTCAAGATGCATTCGGTTTCATCAGTTATCAATAACGTTTCCAATACGTTGCCTAATTTGTTCATTAGAAAAACATCAAGCTTTTTGGATTCAACTACAAATCTATTTCCTGATTCTGCTGATAACAAGTCTGTATCTTCATTAAATGTAAATACCAAATTCTCTTCACAAAAATCATCTCAGGTATATGTTGTATAAATGAGTTGATTATTTGGTTTGGTGGTAAAAAGTCGAAAGATCGAACGTAGAAAAATAGATTGTCGAAAGAAAAATATCGAAAAGCATATTGTCGAAAAAGAAACGTCGAAACGATGTCAAATTAGGGTATGGTGTGGGTGTAAAATATGGGTAGGATGTCGCATTAGAATTACCATTAGCATTATTATTAACCAGGAACACTGCCACTTCAGTATTATTAGCATTAGAGTTAATCAATATCAAAATGTTAACACTAAGTTAACATTATCTTTAATTCGAATGCACATACTCAACGTAAGTTTTACAGGGTTATTTGAGCATGCTACCTATAACTTTTAGAGACTACCTGGAAATGCTGTTGGTAGCATTTCAGCTGCTATCTATAGCAGCTCAACGCTATATGAAGCGTCTCAAGTGATACTTGTAGCATCTCAGCTATTGTGTGTAGCACCTCAATGATATCTGAAGCATCTCAGGTGATATCTGTAGCACCTCGGATGTTGTCTGTAGCAGGGTCTGTGGGTTTGGGTATGGATGTGGGTCTCCTCTTTACCCACAGCCAAATCCGCAGTCATCACCAAGGCTACAACCACACACACTCCACACCTACACCCTTCAAAATCCTTACTTTCGACATTTTCACTTTGGACACTTCGTCGTTCTACATTGACAATTTTCGACATTTTCACTTTGGACACTTCGTCGTTCTACATTGACAATTTTCGACATTTTTCATTCGATATTTTACCACTTTCTCGATTATTTTCCAACAATTTTATTCTATTTCTATTAAAATTCACTATACAGTCATAGAAGAAGATAACGAATACTGAATTCATATTTTATATAATGAACGTTCAAAAATAGATTATTCAAACAATACGATAATTGCTTTTAGAAGCTGGAAACAGATACAATACAAGCCCAAATTACTATTCAGGATGTACATCACGATACCACAGTAAAGAAAAACACTGATGCTATCCAACACATACAAGACCGTAAGTTATAACGATATGCCATAATTAGCAAGAGACTAAAATCTTTAAATAAAAAGTCATAAAAATATCTTCAACTGGTAAATTTCATTTATTTGTTTTTTCGCCATAAAATGTACAATTAAATGACAATACCATCTAACATCATGATTAGAACCGTTATTTTCTATTCATTAGAATTGATCCGAACAACGTTTTAAAAATGAAGATTTTAAAACGTAGTTACTTTTTATCTTAATATAGATTAAATTAGTTCTAAATTTTTTTTTAAATATATTTAGGTATATGTACAACATTGGAAAAACTGCCAAATGAATTATTTTTCTATTTATTCACTTTCATTGATATTCAATATTTATATAGTGCATTTTGGGGACTTAATTCACGATTGAATAATATTATTCAATCATGCAAAAATCTATCTCTAACTGTCGATGAGAAAATTAATCCATTGTTGATGAAATTATATGCTCCTTATGTAAATCGATTGATTATTCAGATATCCATCGATTGTGATTTTAGTCAATTTCCTAATTTACATACATTGATATTATGTTATAGAAATTTAAATTATCTAGCACAAATTCAATCGAAAATTATTCCCAATCTGACTCATTTATCTTTTTTGTTAGGATCAAAATTTACTCCACCACGGCAATTAATTTGTGATGTATTTTCTAATAAATTTCCATCTCTTCGTCACATTAAATTTGGCCATATCTATGAATCTACTTGTAATTTATGGACTATATCACCTTTTCTTCGATTTGTGTCAATCCTTTCTTGTAAACGAATGACTGTTCTAGCCATTCTTGCTTCATGTCCCAATCTTCATCATCTTCAACTTCGTGTTTTATATAAAAAAAATAATACTGTCCTATTATCTCCGCCATTAAATCATTCACTTCGACGATTTATTCTTTGGAGTGATTATGCCGAACTAACTTATAATGATATTGATAATCTTCTTAGTTATACACCCAATATTGAATATTTATATTTACAAACAGTATACTCTATGTCGTTTATCGATTTAGCTGATAATTTGATCAATCGACTGCATCATTTATCTCAATTCAATTGTTATATTAAAGAAATGTTGACCAATCATGATCGAATTGGTAACTTAAATTGTATACATCGAATTCATCCTTGTTTTAATCGAATTCAATGTATAGAAGAAAATGACAAATTTCGAATATTTGCTACTAAATAAATTCTATATGAGAATTCAGAAAATTAAATAAATATATTTTTTTAATAGTTTTATTGATGTTTCTCATTTTATCCATTCACATCTCAGCAGCCATATGTGGTGAAGATCTGAAAGTTAGTGTTCAGATATTCCATCAAGAATGTCGGTCAGAGACACAATTTAGATCTGATTGCTTCAATATAACAAGAATTATGATAGAGATCGCACCTTTTTCCTCTTCTTGAAGCAGTATAACCTGTAAAAAAAGTTGCTGCTAACGATTGCATTGTTTTTTTTTAATTAAATACATGACTATTTTCTTGATATTCTTAGATAAAACTAATGTCGAGCTTATAGCTTTACTTCAGCCAAAAAAAACGAATAAACACATTTCTTCCAAAATTAGCGTCTAGATCTGTCTGTGGAACTTTGGCATCAGCATGCTGATTACCGCTGTATTATTTTGCTTTCGTATAAGATTGAATTGCCAAACTTGTAGGCAATAATGTTCAACTGTATAGAAAAAATCTTTAAAAGCTTTGGACTTAATTTATTGAACTATTACTGTATTACTGGTCTCGAAATGGCGATAGATAGTTTTTCTTTATAGTAATGATCTCAGTAACAGAGCTACAGTTCTACAAAAAGAGTTGATAAACTTTAATGCAATTTGAAAAGTAGATAGCCAGAACCATAGTACTAGATAACGAGGGTTCAGTTGATCCATAAGATCGTTGTAAAACTCAAAGAAAAACTATATATATCTTTCAGTTCGATCCATCATAATTCCTTTAAGGTCCACCTCCCCTCGAAAATCGATCTTGGACTAGGAACATTCATATTGTATGAAACTTTCAGAATATGTTGAGGTTAGTGTGCAGAGGCTATAGTAAAATTTTCAACCCTATATCATGACGTTTGACAGAGATATTCACCCAACAAGTGTCAAAAATAGTACATTTGGCAAAGCAAATTTCTCTGTTCAGGCTCATTCTATACATTTAATTTTTTTCTTTTGTTTGAAAGAATATGTCAGAATCCAGAGTACCACAGAGTTCTTCTTCTCAGATTCTTACTTTTTAAATGGAGAGAATGAATTACAAGTTCAACGACTTAAAAGACGCCTAAAAAATGGCGCCGTTTCTAGAGAGCTGTTTTCATATACGATAATAAAAAAGTTTATTTTAAAAAAAAGAATCCTGTAGTGCCTTGTATTCTGATGTGATCTTTCCAATAAAAAAATTTAAATATATAATGTGAACCTGGAAAGAGAAATTCGGGTTGCACGTTCGACAAATCATGAACTGAGAAACAACGAAAAAGATTTTCGGTTTTTTTTCCAGGAAACAGCTCATTTTTCGAATAGGGGATGACAGAAATCTTCAACAATTTTTGGAAAAAAATAAGGTGCCAAGTAAAAATTTTTGTCGTTTCTGAGAGATCAAATTACGAACTATCTTCTCATCCATTTATCTTAGTTTCGATCATTCTAACGAAAAGTGACTTTTTTTTGAGGGTGATGGATCTTAAAACAATTGAAACAAGGTTTTGCAGCCGACTTACATCCTTGATGAAATATATGTACACATATTTCCAATCGTCCAATATGTATGGTGGCTAAGATTTAGCTGGGCGGAGCCTTTTGTCCATTACTGTATTTTCTATTATTTATTCTTTTATTCAAAAGACGATGCAATTCATACTTTAACGAAATATAAAAATACGATCAACAAATACTTTATTGTTGTTTTCAGTAATAAAAAAATTTCACAATAAGTATTTTGTGAACTAGAAGATAACACAGCTTTTGTCTATGATGATTATCATCCTTACAACAGTAGTAGATCAATCAACAAATATCAACTTTGATGACATTATTAAATTTTGATTAAAAGATTATTAGGCTATTAATCAACATAAGCATAATTTGTCATATCAAATCATTCTCAAAGAAACTATTTTCTAATATTTTCTCTTTTTTCTCTTTTTTTACATTATTGCAATTTTCTAGAATCGATAAACATCTAACAATTATTTTCAATTATTTGTATTATGTCGAATATAAACTAAATTGAAAACAAAAAGATGCAATAAATTCGTATTAATATAAATCGAAGAATAAATATTGATAATAATGGCATATATCTATCATTTTTGATCATATATTATTAAATATGTATGATCCTTGGTAAAATAAATGACTCTTTTTTTATCGATAAAAGTCTCACAAAAACAGTATAATAAAATACAATGAAAACATATTATCCATCTGTCGCTAAAAATGTGGCTTCAGCTTCGGCCAAAACTTGATCAGGTTGTGCTAATGATAACTAAATAAAACTTTTTTCTTTTTTTATATCCATAAAGAAAGTAAAAAAAACAAAAACTTACATCTGGAATAGGATAAGGCGTTGGTAAAATAGCTTGATCTCGTCCAAAATCTTTCATTTCACCTGCTTTACAAATATCATCAACCCATAAACCTTCCATAAGTTGTCCTCGAGTAACATAGAAAAATTTTCCATGACCATGTTTCTTATTATCACGCCATTCACCTTCATAACGATTATCATTTGCTAGAAAAAAACAAAACAAACAAAGAAATATAATCACATCTATGAAAAAATAAAAAAGTCTATCTAACCTAAACGTAACATGCCCGTTCCATGTCGTTTGTCGTCAAGCCATTGTCCTTCATATGTTGATCCATCAGCATAGAACATTCGTCCCCATCCATTTCGTTTATCAGCATAAAATTCTCCTTCATAATATTCATTATCAGAAAAGAATAAATTTCCATATCCCTATAATATAATGATATATTTTTAAAATACTTTTTTATTTTTCTATAATTTTTACATGTCGCATATTATTTTTCCAACCACCTGCATATTGTCGTTGAAATTTACCATTAGGTGTTTTAACAGTTAATGTACCAAAACCATTTCGTGCATCATTAGCAAAATCACCTTCATAAAAATCTCCTGTTGATTTCCATATATAGATACCTTTACCTATTCTTATGTGATACAAAAAAATTAAATTTCTATTCTATTAAATTTATTCTAACCATGTTTTTTATCATTTTTCCATTCTCCTTTATATTGTGAACCATCTGATGAATAAATTGTAGAATGAAAACCTTGTTTACGTGCTTTACGATCCCAAGATTTCCATAATTGTTCAGGAGGTGGACCTTGTCTATTTCTTAAGGATGACATTATACAATAACAACAACAAAAAGAAAAATACACCAACAAAAAATATGAAAGTTAAAATAAAAAGAAAACAGAAGACATTTTTTAATACGTTGTCCGGACGATGACGCTTTCTGTTCACATTTTTCTTTTAAATGTGACCTCTATCGAAAAATAACATATGTTACAAAAAAAAAAACATACAAGAAAGAAAGATGATCATTTTTCTATATGAATATTAAACCGATATGTTAAAGTAATATATTTCAATCAGATTAATATTTTATTATCAAATAACAAAATCAAGAAAAAAATAATAAGATTTTATATAATTCTCTAACATATACAAGAGAATTAAAAAGACAAAAAATTAAATTTTTAATTGTTCTAAATCAGGTAAATCAATATCATTTTGTTGTTGCATTTTTTTTCTATATTCTTGACTCAAATGTTTCATTAATTGTGGTGTTGATAAATGAGGTTGAGTTTGTTTCATTGTTTGAAAATGTTCTTTTATAAATAAATTATATCGAGTTAATGTTTTCTTTGGCGTTGCAACTTCATTTGTTTGATTATTATTTAATAATAATTGAAATTTTCCCATACATTTTCCACAAAAATCAATTTCAATATCAACCGATTTCGAATGACGATAAATTCTTTAAAAGAAATTAATTTTTAATAAAATATTTAAATAATAAAAAGACTCCACCAGATTTGGTGGTATATCCTGAACAAAGATGCTATATATATATGTGGTTTTGTAGAGCAAATTACAGTGCATCAAATGATATGTTGAGAGTTCACATACTGAATATAATCCTTGAGAAATATATATGATAGTCATAGACATTATGGTTCCGAAGATAAATCAATGTAAATTTTGTTTCCAAACTTAATTTGATACAGTTATAAGTGTTCTTCATAATTAAAGATGATACTTTTCCTTAGGTTTAGGTTATTTCTCGATTGTATAATATTTCAGTGTATTCAACTTTGTGTCAGAGAATCAGTGAGTATCAACGTGAAATATTCTCAAAAATTTCGGAGCATCGAATTCTATATATTTCACAGATAGCATCTTTCGTAAGAGTGAACTTTCAAGATTGCCTATTTTTCTATATGAAGGCATCTGTATCATGACGATATTTTGATAATATTCAACGATCCTATTAAAAATTTTTACGCACTAATAATCAGCATAACATTCCTGATAAATTGATATACACAAGTTCTTCATAAATTGAAAATTTTTTTTTTTTGTTCCCAGATTCCATGAGGATAGTATAAGGATATGGAAAAATTTATTTTTGAAATAAACATGATATATTTATAGATTCTTGCTGAGTTTTATGGAAAAGTCAAATCTGAATATTCGGAATAAAAATGGCAGACCTCCTTCGTACAATTCTATACTTGTCTGTGCACCTCTACAGAAATCTGAAGACTAAAATTATTTTCTATCTATCAAGAAGTTATTTATATCAGTTCATCAGAGATGCTTTACTGGTCATTAGTGCATAAAAATTTTTAATAGGATCGTTGAATATTATCAAAATATCATCATTATACAGGTGTCTTCATATAGGAAAATAGGCAATCTTGAACGTTGACTCTTACGAAGGATACTATCTATGAAATATATAGAACTCGATACTCTGAAATTTTTGAGAATGTTTCACGTTGATACTCACTGATTCTCTGACGCAAAGTTCAATACACTGAAATATCATATAATCAAGAAATAACTTAGACCTAAGAAAAGGTACAATGTTTAATTATGAAGAACACCTATAACTGTATCGAATTAAGTTTAGAAAAAAAATTTATATTAGTTTATCTTAGGAACGATAATGTCTATGAGTATCATATATACTTCTCAAGGTTTATAATCAGTATATGAATTCTCAGCATATCAAAATTTTTATATAACTTGATTTGTTATACAGTATTCCATGGAATGTAGTTTGCTCTCTAAAACCATCTATATTGCTTCCTCGTTCAGAATAGATCATAAAATCCGACGAATTCCTTACTCATATTGACATTGAGTACATCGATAAATAAATTTATAAGTAATATCATAAGTATGTTTAACTGAAATAGCTGGTAAATAAGGATAACATCGTTCAGCTTGACGTGTCCATTTACGCCATACTGGACCATGACCACCATCCTTAACACCATCAATTAATGATACAGCTGCATGACACATTTCATGTAAAAGTGTATCACGACAACGTTCTAATGTAAATTATTATAAATTTAATCTTAAGAAAAACTTTCGTACGAACCAGGTGAATTACAAACTTTATTTGAAAGTGTAATTGTAGCTGTTTGAGCAGAATATTGAGTAGCACAATGACCAGCTGTTGATGTTAAACGACCACTCCAAACAATTGTTATTTTGTTTGAAAGCTAAAGAAATATTTTAATTTAAAATATATATGCAAAGAACAAAAACAAAATAATTTACTTTTGAAGAAAAAACATCTTGATCAAATATTGAAAAAAGTTTCTGTGCTAATTCTTCTCGTTTCTTTTTATTTTTAAATCCTGATCGAGTAAAATATCTATTAAAAAAAAACAGCAAAGAAATATTAATTAACAAAAAAAAATTCAAAATAGAATATTTACTGTTTAGTATCAATATGTTTATCTTCTATTGGTACATATTTTGAAAGTGATTCAAGAAAAGTAACAGATATTTGTCGATTTTTTTTCTTTGTTATTAATCGACTATCATTTTCTGAAGAAGAAGATGATGAAGATGATTGACTAGATTCATCAGATGCATAATCATCATCAATTCTAATAAATAAAATAATATTTCAAATAATCAAAATTTTGAAAAAATGAATTTTACTTTCGCCATGATAAATCATGATCGATTAATCGATTTACTTTTGGATAAAATTCTAATGGATGCTCATCACCATCATCAGATGATGATGATGAATCACAAATAAAATCTTTTAAACTAAAATTATAACAATAAATATATTAAAAAATAAAGTAATACATGTTTAATCAATACCTATTTCTATTCTTTCTTCTTTGTTGTATTGGTGATTTTTCTTTAGATTTAACTTGTTTTGGTGTTCGATGTTCTTGTAAAACTATGAAATGAAATAAAGAGTTTCTAAAATTTTTATATAAATTCTACTATAAAACGATGGCAAGAATAATAAGAATGCACGAATAGTTGAATTGTTCTATGAAAATTCGTGGTCCTCAGGAAAAATGAGTTTCAAATTTCGACTTGAAACTTTGCACAGAGACGGATCTTAATGAGAGTAGCTTATTTTTGCATCTATTCTGAAATAGAAATATCGGAATTTACCGTTGTAATATGAACAGCGTGAAAAGCATGCTTTTACCTTAGCCATATCTAAGGATAGAAGCAATCAAATGGTCTGAAATTTTTACAATAAACTATTTTCTCATTAAGGCATGTCTCTATGGAAGATTTCAAGTGGAAATTCGAAACTCTGTTTTCCTGAGAACGACCACAATATTCTGATACAACATATAGTATCTCAGCAGTAATAAGCTTTAATCCACACTCTATTCAAGGTATGTATAGCTCATTCGGGTCTACAGGACACACATAGTCCGAATTCAAAAGCGATTTGACATTTAGAAACGTTCTCTCGTCAGATCAATGCAAATCCCTAGCTTTTTTTTAGATATGACCTAAACAAAGTTGACCCTGTATATATCTACATTCCATAAAAGAATCATAATTAATCAAATTCTATTCGAAGATCGTGCAACTCATTATTATTCTTGCTCTCGTTTCCCCTTCATTCGATTTTTAAGATTCTATTCAAATGACAAAAAAATTACATTTTTCAAATGCTTGATCATCATCACTACTATGATTTGTTCGTCGATTTTTCAAAGAATCTCTATAGAAAGAAAAAGTATAATGTATATTATTGAATTGAAACACATGCACAAGACATATAAGAAGGAAAAAAAGAAGATGAAAACGAAGAAGAAAGTCAATATTCAAGACACTGATCAACTGGTCGTAAATCAAATGTATTATGCCATGTATGAACACGTTTCATAATCACTGGTTTAACAGGACGTCGACAAGGCATATGATCATTATCATGATGTTGTTGACATTCTGATCGTTTTATTTCTTGTATAAGTTCATTAGAATCTTGACATTGAAATTTAGGTGCATTATTTGTTAATGGTGGTGAATGTCTTCGATGATGAAGACGTGCTTTTAAATTTCCCACACGATATTTATGTTGTTCAAATGATGAACGATGAAATAGAGATGCAAGTTTTGGTAAAATTGGTTTTGGAGGAGATTTATTCACCGGTATATAAATATCATTACTTAATGGCAAAGATTTTTGTTTAATAATTTTTGAACGTAAAAAATCATTTGTATTTAAATTAAGATTTTCTATATTTAATGTATCTGTTATATATGATTTATCAGAATTTTTTGTTGTTAAATTTTGATTATGATTATGATTATGATGATGATGATGAAAATAATTAAATAATGAACCAAATGAACGATGTTTTTTAACAGTATCATTTGTTGTTGAAAATGATAATTCAGGAAAATTATCATTAGTAGATAATTTTTTATCTATTAAACCATTTGTATGATTTATTGTTGCTGAACGTTTAAGAAAACGATGTTTATTTATTGATGTATCAATAAAATCATTTTTACGTGATTTTGTTAAATTCATTTGATTTTCACTAATTGAATTTTGTTTAACCATAGAATGATTATTATTTGAATGTCGAAAACGATTAAGTATTGATGAAGGCCAATTAGATGTTGAAGATGATGATGATGATATTTGTGGTTGATTATGTTGTTCTTCTTCAAGATAAAAAACAGCTGGTGTAGAATTTGATTCTTCTTCAATTATTTCATTATCTTCTTCAGTTTCATCTTCTTCAGGTAAAACATCTGTTGTTGTTGAATGTTTAAAATCAGAAAAAATATTATAAAATGAATATGGATTGCTATTTGGAGAACATGGTGATGTTGGAGATGATGCTGATGATGATGAAAACGAATTATTTGTTGATGTTAAATCATTTGATGATAAACGTGATTTTATTGGATTTGTATTATCACGATAAAAATCATCGAATGTATGAAGTTTTCCATGATAAGAATGAACAATATGTTTTAACATTATTTTTTTTTTTTTTGTTTTTTTTTTTTTTTCTCAACTAAGAATTCATTTTTATCTAAATCAGCTGGATAAACGCTGTTTATCCGTCGACGACGACGACGATATGAGAAGAAATAAAAATGATTACAATGTGTTTATACGGACGAAGCAAGTTCACATACAGTTTCGATGTACGACCAACGGGGACGAACAGAGCGAAAAAAAAAAAAAATGACGAAGAGAAAAGAAAAGGGGAAATAAAATCATATGAATATACAGATAGGGCATACAAAGGTAATTTCCATCGAGAAAAGCAAAATCATATCCAATTGATAGGCCTACACATAGACATAGAGAGAGAGAGAGAGAGAGAGAGAGAGAGCGAGAACGAAAAAATTATTCAAGAAAGAAAAATGCAAAATATGTCAATAGATACAAGTTACCTTTTTGATTGATATTGTTGATTATGCAAGACTGTCTTCCTTTTTGTTTCACCTTGTCGAGGATTGATCCATACTACCATTGAATAAGAGTAATTATATTCTAGTACGTTATAAACAAGGTGATTCATTTTACCTTTTTTGTCATATGATTCGTTTTGATTACTATTATTAAGTATATTAGTTGTTATTTTAACATATGTTTCTATTTTATCCTACAAAGTTCAAATTAGTATTGATATAAAACTTAGTACATTTTTGTCGAGACAAATGTAATCATTCATCAATAAATTTGACTATCGATATTATAGATTGTAATCAAAACAAATGACCGAGTTTATTCTCTAATTTTTTTTACTTATTAACTTTTGAAAAACAAAATTATGAAATCTTAGAAAATTTAATAAAAACAAAAAACAAGAATGAAATTTTTTTTTTAAATTAATTCTTACTGTTTGTTGTTGTTGTTGTTGTTGTTGTGGTTCATCATCTTGTGTAAATAATAAAAGCCAAGGATTAAAATTTATTGAATTTTCATTTAATACATTATTAATTGTTGTTATTGTTTGATTTTGATCTATTGGTGATAGTTCATGTTTAATAAATGATATTTCTGAACTTGTAGAAAAATTATGTTTAGCTTTATCAAATAATAATGAATAAGATTCGAATGTTTCATTTGTATTTTCTGTAAATGATAATTCAAGAGAATCGTTTGATGATGTTAATAATGGTTCATTCATATTTCTGATATCTTACATCAAATAATTTTTCTATTGTTATGTGAATACATTTGTTCGTATTTTTTCAATAATTTCTTTATTCACCAGTTGAACTATCCACATCGATTTTCACTAGATATCGCTACATGTATGAAATGATTATTATCTAAAAAAGGTCATTTTCATATAAAACGTCTTCTATATCCTTGAATTTTACCGTACATCTTTCGTAGATATCTTCATTATATATCTGTCATTATTATATATACTAGTATGAAATTATATTTCTATCAACAATCAATGTTTCAATTATATATATAAGTAAATTTCATATTTAACATTTTCCAAGGATTTTTTTTTAAAATAATTTTTATTGTATGAATAAAAAAAAGAAATAAAATGTATCGATTGATTACGTTATTTTTGATAGTTTTGTTCACTTTGCTCTATTTATATAATACTTCGAATGTTTCTTATTTTGAGAGTCTATGTAATTTTTAGTTTGCATCTTTTTGAAAAATTTGTTAAATTTCAAGAAATATTGATTGAAAATTTTTGCACATTCATATTTCAGTTCAACCAAATTAATTAATGATGGAAATTGTTTTAGATAGAAGACATTCATTACATTTAAATGTGTAAAACAGGAATCCGCGTGGGGTGGGATAAACATCTTTTACAGAGTATTATTAAGAACGACATAATCGTTTCAAAATTGATATCTTTCTCGACTATTTAAGCGAAATAAGTGAGAAATAATCTGTTTTCTTATTCTGTAAGGAATTAAGTATTGTAACCATTAGGATTCGATAAAACAAATAACAATGAATCAATATTATAGCTCTGCGGTTCCTAAAATTTTTGCTAGCAACCGACAATTTCACTGTAACATACAAAATACCGAGTAATTGAGTTTTTTTTTAGAAATTTCTACATTTTATCTTCGGGACTCTTCGTGTTTATTACTTCATCAAATAAAATAGCGTCTTCAAAAGGTAGAAGAAAAAGTCAAATAATGAGATAAAACACTAACATACAATATATTCATATGAAATATTAATATTACAAGTTCTAAAAAACATCTACTTCATCATTTTCTTATCCTCTCAATGATCATGATCACAAAGAACAATATCATCTTCGTTACTCATTCTAAACGCCTTTCTTGTTGTCGTAATTGTAGATTGTTATTTGGGTTGGACAAGAGATTGTAGACGATGATTGTTCAACCATCTTTCTTTTCGTTTCAGCTCTATCAATTTCATCAACTTCTCTCATCACATGATTTTAATAATACTAAATTATTCTGAAAAAATAACAATAGGAGTATTTTTTCTGCACCAAGATCGATGCGCTTATCGATACTTGTAGTTTTTGCAGCCGCGAACAGTCCTTCCTACAATAGTGTTCGATGTTTGTACAGAAATAATGATCTTCAGTTATAGAAAATAAGATCGGTAATTTTAAATTCTGTTGTCGCGGAATTATACAACATCATCATCATGTCCACTGAATGGGACATTTGATGGCATATATTCATCTAATTCATACGGCGTTGTTGACAATGTTAAGGAATTTTGTGGTATATTGAAACAGTATGAAAGAGGATCTTTTGATGTTGTCGATTGAGAATCAAATGAATTTGTATGAACAGCTGATGGAGTAGTAGTTGTACATGTAGTAGATAGTATTGTTGGAAGCCGTTTAATAATTTTCGTTTTAATTGACTTAAGGACTTTTTCTTGAAAACCAGGATTACTACGAGAACTTTTCATGGGTAAATGAAGAAAGGTACTAATATAATGCACATCTTGCAACATCTACACATCTTGAAACTTTCACCCTCGAGAAAAATTGCGGTTCCGATTCTAGGTAAGAGAAACAGAAAAATCCGATTCTCAGCTCGGTTCTTGATTCCATTTTTTTTGGAACCGCAGGGCTCTAGTTTCTACTCTATGTAATATGTACTTGAATAAACATCTCATTCGTAAATAAACAACATGATAAGTTGTATTTTCTCATTAACTACCTGATAATAAAACTCTATAACTGATATTTTATGTTGATTCAAATTTCTTAGTAAGAATGGGTAGGGTGCCGTTGGTCGAATGACTTTTCGTCGAAAATTACTAGAGTAGTAGCATTTACTATTTATTCTTCTATAGTCTATATATATAGACTATGAAAGACTAAATAGTAAATGCTACTACTCTAGTAATTATCGACGAAAAGCTACTTCCTCGTAAGGACTGGTCTATATTAACAAATTAGATACAAACTACCTTTAACGAAATGATGATAAGAAAACACTCGGTAGCTCTCATTCATAGTAAGATATAGAGCTCAAACAATAATAGATCATTAGCACTGTATATATACTATGACTAGTAACAAAATCACATTTTTCTGAGATTTGGCTGAAGCCATATAAGCAAATAAACATTGGAATTTCAGGCCAGCTGGCCACACCCATATATAGATCCGAATATTCAGAAAAATCCTATCCAAATCTCATGTTTGTCCCAGAGATGTCCATCGCGGCTGAAAATCTGCTGCTACCGCACCGCGATGATTTATGAAAAAAGCTGCAGCTGTCGCGATAATTGCCAAAAAGATGTTTCGAATTTCACTGCTGCAACTGTATTGGAACAGAAATATTGGTGCTAGCCCATTAGATGCAGTCTCAGGGTGTTTCATTTGTAAACAATGAAATTCTATCAAATTCATGCAGTTTTTCAATGTCATGGAAAAAATGCTGCTATTGCCGTGCCGCTGCGATGATAGTTTTCTAGAAAAACTGCCACTGCCGCGTCGCTATTGCGGCGGCGACGCTACGGATATTTCTAGTTTGTTCGCACTACCATCAGTGTATCGACAGTAACGTTAACAACTTTCGGTTCCAGCTATAAAAGACTATAGAGAGTACTTTCTGTCCAAATTCGAATTATTTATTAGAGAGAATTCAAATCAATCGACAAGAAAACAGTTTCAGAAAATATTTTACTAAGAAAGTTTTTTGCAACCCCGTCTATAATAAAAATTTATCTCTGAACTCGAGCCAATTTGGGCTCTATGACTAGACACATCAATTATTATTCGAGTACATCCACAACGACTCAATTTTGTCAGTTTTTAAAGTCTTCAAAAACATTCACCCATTTTGATACCACACACTGTGATACAACACTTTCAAAAACAAATTGCCGATATAGCACACATTATTCCGATCGGTAACCCACGATAGTTGTCACATGAAATATATTATGTTATACTTTATTACATTCAATACGTAAAAGAAGATCGAAGATTTCTTAAAAAGTATTATGTTTGCAGGCTTGATACAGTAGCTATTTGTAGTTTTGTGATAGGAACGATAAAATTTTTATTGCATTAGACACATTCAAATATCGCAATCGTAAATTCTTGTGTTTTTGATATAAACGTCGCATGACTGTCGTTAAATTCTAGAGATTCTGATAAGTTTAAATGTTGCTTTCTTTTGCAAATATTAACATAGACTACATATATAACATGAATGATGATTAAAAAACCTCACCAAAACTCGAGTCAACAACAAGGTTGATAAGCAAGTGTAGCGCATTGTTTTGATGAAGTCGGATTATTTTTACGTTTTTCAACGTTTTTCAAACTCTTTAGTCAATAGATAAAACGTGCCTACGCAGTCATGTGAATTGATTTAGATTGCTAACGTTTCACGTCGTAGATACCAGTATGCAAATATGAATCAGAAAAAAAGTTGTTATTCGTCGAGATACCCACTCAGCGGGCAAAGTTGAGTGTATTTAGCTTATCATATTGAATATATAAGAAATAAATCATCATCATTATCTGGTATACTTGACATTATTTTAAATTTTTATTATTTTAGAACAATAACTATTTTCATATTCAATGGACGTCGATTTAGATTTTTGTTTGAAGCGTTTTGCTAATGAACAATTGGACGATAATATCAAGGAAGTTGCTCAACTTCAACGTAAAATAAAAACAATGCGTACTAAACTTACAGAAATATCACAAGAAGATGATAAAGCAATATGTCAACAAGAAAATATACTTGCGGATAATTTCTCAAATGATCTTAATAAAAATAATATAGCTATTAGTACAACACGTCAAATGATTGAAAATGAATTTCGAAAAGCTCTTGATGATATTAAAATTGATATTGATATTATAGCTCAAATACCAATAATGAGAAATAATAATCGAGAAAATAATGAAGAAATACGAATGGCTAGTAATAAAATACGTCAACAAATTATAAATATTGATAGTGAATTAACTCATTTATTTAATATGATAGATTCTAACAATTCTATTCATTCTTGTTCTCGAGTTTTAATATGGTTTCGACAACATTATGGATATATAAATGAACTCAATCGAATAATCGGTAAAAATACTAATTCTGGTGATCTATTTGCTTTTTCTGAGAAAAGTCCACTTATGCATTGGGTTATGGAACGTGCACCACTTTGGATTCGTCGTCAGAAACTTATCGTTAAATTTATTCATGAAATGGATGAAGATTCAATTACTAGTAAACATCTAATTGATTCTCTTAATCGCACAACAGATACATCTAATGCAACTAAATTTATTCAACATTATATTCAAGATCGACAAGAAGCAAGACGTCATCGAAGAGAACAATTATTACACAAACTGGAAATTAAACTTGAAGAACAACTTGTCGAACAGCAAACACGAGCAACTGAATTAGTTAGTGCATTATGTCAATTATCTGCACGTTTATTAAGTGAATTTCAATTGAATATGAAACTTAAAAAAGTACTCCATCAAGTAGAAACATCCAAACAAATTGTACCTATTCTAATAGATCATAATGAAGAAAAAAAAGGTAGGAAAGTAGATTTAACATTGATAAAAATTTCTTTATTTTTCCACAGTTGATTTTTTATTGATTATACGTCTTGAGGGTAACTACAACATATGGACATCGAATAAAAATTCTATTCAAGAACGATTCTGTTCGGCATTCTGTAGAATCATGCAAGTATCAACTGATTCTCTTAGAATTGATCATATTGAAGAAAGTGGTGTCATTCTTCATCTTATGGTTCATGCACCTTATGGTCCATTCGTTATCAAACAAATATCTGGACGTGGAAAAGATAATGAATTTTCTACGTTAAATATTCAAACTATTCAGAAATGTTGTGCAAAATTTGGTAGTCAAATACATTCAATTGTTTTAGGTGAATGTACTTTACCTATTGAAAAGTGTTTGATGGATTTCAAATGGAATAAAATGCGTATTAATGATAATCGATTAACTGATAATACTTATGGATTTGATTCATTCGATCAAGAAAATAAAGAATCTGTATGTCCACAAGGTAGTATAACCATTCTTGTTTTTTTTTTGTCTTAAAAACATACATTATTATCAAAAACTAGGTTGGAAACGAATCGGTATTAAAGTGGCAGAAAATGATGCAGACTTCGATGTTCAATGGGGTTCATGGCATATTGCCTATCATGGTACACAAGGTTCCTATGCACCATTTATTTTATCATCAGGCTTACGCGTATCAACTGAACAATATTTTATATCTAGAAATCATCAAACCATTTGTTTATCACCAAGTATTGAATATGCGGCTCATCCACGGCATACTCGTCTATGGAGAAATATTCCAAATGATGGTGAAAAATATCGATATTATCAACTCGTATTTCAATGTCGTGTTAATCCAGCTGTAATAGATGATCCTAAACCTGAAACATTACTTCAAGATATTCACAAAACTACGCGTATCGATAACGATATTCCTAATGAAGAACTCGAATGGATTATACAAGCTACACAAGAACGTATTCGTAATTATATTGTTTGTTATGGTCTTATGATTCGAGTGATTGATTGTGAACCGAGTGATCTTCCGATCTTAAATTGGTGGAAGAATACACATTACAATGAATATTGATATATTAATTAATCTTTTCGTTCATAAGTTGAACTCAAAAAAACAATCAAATACTTTTTTTTTGAGTGTTGTTAGTAGCGCTAAAAAGAATCGAACTCTTACAAATATTAATAGTTATTTTAATATTACTTTAAATAATCTTCAACGCTACTGGTAGGTGTTATTGATGGATTAAAACTAATTTTTTTTTTTTCGATGGAAATCATAAAAATTTTTGCATTCTGTATCATAATATACTCTCGATCGGATGCAAATTTGTTTGCTTTCACTAAAGATTGTTGAGATATTTTTTTCTTGACTGGAATATGAAAGCTATCTCGAAATGCGTGGACACATCGGTACTACTCTTGAAAAGATGATTATTGATAAACACTTATTCGATAAAAAATAGTCAACTTTCGATCAAACTCTTCAACTTGGTGTAAAGAATCAATTGTTTGTTTCTAACGAATTCAAAAAAATAATTTTAAATCGTTTCACAAATGATAGCATGTGATAGAGCTTGTATTATACTTTTGTTCAATAAACAATAGCAGAACAAAAAATCAAAATTATGATCTAATTAATCTGTATATAAGCTAGTAGAAAAAAATGATCTAATCTCCATCTTAGTTCATATCGAACAAAATCAATGATGTTCATCCAGTCAAAATGGACTTCGAAATGTATTCAACAATGTGCTCATGTCAATTAGGCAAAATCAATCATTTTTGATAAAAGAAATTATTGGAATTGATCGAAATCGTATTCAAATATGATTAATACTGATTTTGATAAGGACGCTATTCCTTTTTGAAATGTGAAATGACTTCATTTTTATTCAATTGATTTGGTTGCATTGTAGTAAAATATCGATAAATATTTTAGAATAAATGAACCAATCGACTGTTGTCCTCTATCGTTGACCAGTCCTTATTGCTTTCGTCCGAGTAAAAAAATGTTGATTGTCAATAGTTCTTCAATTTTGACTTGAATATTTTTATTCGATAGAATTCAAAAAATTAATTGATCAACTTATGAAAAAATGACAAAATTTTTTCAATATTTTCATCAATGCAGTACTTTTTTTTTAGAGTTGATGCAGATTGAGTGCCATTCTTCTTGAATGATAGCTTAGATGCTACTCTTCAAAACTATATTGTTAATGACTATTCACCTTGAAATATGGCAAAGATAAGAAAAAAATAAGAATGGGGTCATTACTTGTGAAACACCCTTTATGTTATCATCAATCTTGTGAATATGAATTGGCTATTTGATATCTCAGAAAACAATCATTTAAAACCTCCAAAATACATCAAGATTATTGAATTTTAAATTTGTTTCATCAATATTTAAATTGCTTTATATGTCATTCTGGCTTCAGTCGATTTTACCACGTCGGAATCAATGAAACTTGCAAAAGTGTTCGATTCATCATATCAACAATAATTGATTGTTGCTTCGAAAATTGATAAATACGATAAGGATATTTCGGAAAAATTATAAGGTCGTAGACTAAGTTCAATGGAACTTAAATTGGGCTGTGTTGCTGTCCTAAATTGAAATCAAGATGAAATTGATAAAAACATTTCTTTCCATGAAATGAAACAACGTGAAAAGCAATTCTTTTTAAATTATAAAGAAGTGTTTGAACATTGATCCGACGAGTTTCAAGGAAGCGAACAATTAATTCGACGTCTTGCTACCATTCAACAAGAGCGTATTCGTTTCACATTTCTACTTATTATCACACAATTAAGAAAATAAATGGCCGAAAAGAAGCTCAATTGAAAAAAATTCTGGCTCCAATCAATACAGAACATGAATGTTGGACAAAATTTCAATCGAGGATAAATATATATATCGAGAAACTATTCATGACAATGTCAAAGGCGCGTACGATCAAGTTTCATGAACGAAGATCACTGAATTACTTACGATTTCTAACGATTCAAAAAAGAAATCCGATAATGATATCGATACCAATGAATCACTGACTAGAGTTAAAGTAGATGAATACAACGAAGGCCATTTTGCTTATCATATGTACCAATTTCAGCGTAGGTTTTACATCAAATGTAAAGAATGTTTCACGGATTTCTTTTTACATAAATATTATGAAATTGTACTTCGTAAAATTAACTGAACGGTTGATGTTTCTCTACCAAATTTTTCGAGCTATCAAATTATCGTAGGACTCTTCGAAAAAGAACTCAAGAAATTATCCGATTGCTACTTTGAATTGATCGAACAAATGTATGAATACATGTCCAAATTTTTATTACAATTATTTGAATATGCTTTTGATAATATCTATTCTCGTCTAAAACAAGTCATCATCAAACAACTAGATGAAGTTAAAGAAGTTTTTTAAAGGAACATGTCGAAGAAATCATTGATATGGAATGACGTATTCTTACTCTTAATCCATACTATATGAAAACGGTGAATAATTTAAAAGAAAAATGATGAACAAGAAGAATTGATTTTGACATCGTCTGTGATAAAAAAATTCAGCCTCTGTTACTACAAAAGTAGCATTAAATTTACTTACTAAAAGTTCCAATAGGATAATTGGATATACAACTGTGTATACTGAAGCTCAAGTGACAGGAGAAATTCAAATTGCATTTGATTCTTGATAAACTTTCGAGATCGATTGATAGATTATATGTTTTTTGTTGATTATGATTGCTTGATTAATTTCTTATTACTTTTGTAGACATTGTTTTCCAACAAAATTTTATTTTGTGAAATGCATCAATTTTTTTAAACGGTGGATTCAATTTCAATTTTGAAAACGAACTTTTCTATTTTATACATCAACATATATTCAAATTAGAAATTTCGTATCTCTTTTAGGTAGTGGAAAAATGTATGAGAGATACTATATCACAAATATGTTATTATCATATTATAACTTAAGTTGCTTTAAGAATTGATCATAGACTGAGCACTTCAATGAGACCATTGCAACTTGTTGAATTCATGCGAGAATCATACGAGCGAACCAATCGACGTAACAAACTCATGCAAAGTATTCAAGCTTATGAAGAAGCATTACAGTTAGGTTTAGCATATATCTAATACTTTTTATAATACAATTACCATTGCTTATTGTTTGATTAGAATAAATAAATAAGCGGACGAAGAAATCAAAGTGAAAGTGAATTTTATCAATCAAGATGAGTTTGATATTTCGATTGAAATTTCATAGAATACTAAAAATCACATGTTCATGGATGTATTATCAAAGATTGATGTAGAATAGATTCAATGAAATGATAAAATTTTCAAATTTCGAAAGATTCACTTAGCATGCTTAGCTACACATATTTTAATCTACAGGATATAGGAAATTCTTTCGAAGAACTTCAATGGCAGGTCTAAGTTAACGTCTTAAAGATGGACTATACAGTTTATTCTTTATTACGATGCGATTTTTGCACTGCAGAAGGATGTGTGGAGTATTGGTGCATGTTGTGAGGATGTGTGGTTTGAAGGTGTTGTGCGGCAGTGTCCGACGCGGATCAGTTTACGAAAAAATTTTTAGATTTTCGGACTGGATCTGCAGGCTAAATATTTTACAGATACAAATAACATTTTGAATGTTTTTTTCATTTAAAAGTTGTATAAGAGAGCGTGAAAAACCTTAGTAGAACAGAGAAAAGTGATCTATTACACGATCTTTTCTTTATTGACATCGGACAATGATTTATCACAAGTACAGTATTTGTTCAATGGTGATATAAAGATCGCAAGTTGTATACATAAGAAACGACAGACAAATAAGAAAACATTATATCACATAATTGTGTTGTTCTATCTGCGGAATATCGACGAAACGAGATCAAGGACATATTCTTTGTTTCCAACTACGAAATGAAACGAGAGAAAAATTGGTTTTCTTAAGAGAAAGAGAAATGTCGTCGATATACAGGGTCCGGGTTAGATGAGAAAACTTTGACCCATATTGGACATTGGCATGAAGCGCTTCTCAAGATGAACGACGTCAGTACTTGAGAAAAAAAATCACTAAAGTATTACCTTCACCAGAAAAATTGTTCATGATGTCAAGAAAAGTGTTTAGGTTCATATAAATGTTGAATAGAATAGTAACAGCAAATATTTCTCATATTTTTCTTTTTACTTGTCAAAATAAGCTATATAGAAAGAAATAATCGACGAAACATGATTTTATTAAGATTATTGACTATATTTTCAAGACTTAATTTTTTGAATTTTCTAATTTTCTTAGAATATTTTTTTTTTCTTTTCTTCTATTGATACCAACAATTCATATAACGAGAAAGATGATAGAGGACGCTATTATCTGAATCTTAATTTGACCTTAATTGAATTCTTATGCCCTATAAAATGTGATTGTCAATTCTGAAATAAAATACTTTTAAAAGATTTTCTTATTTGAAAAATATCAATAGAAAATATGTACAATTACCAAAAACTTTTCATTCGTTAATTAAATTATCGTATGACTAATCTATCTCCATCCTCTCTGTCCTTTGATGACTCATTCCAACGCGCGCTATGTGATATTAAGCCGAATTGTCATTATATAAATATCTGTAAAAAAAAAAAAAAAAAAACAAAAATTCTCTTTTGTTCCATTTTAGAGAAATTTTATTAAAAAAAAAACGAACCTAAAACGCATCAAAAATATTCTATTTTAGATTTTCCTTCATTACAGACGAAAACAAAAAAGCAAAATATTGTCAAAACATTGTGTTAAATACACATTATTCCTTTACCACACAGCGATGAGATGATCATCGTTGATGATTGTCAATTGTGTTCTGTTGAGACTAACCATATATCTTCTCCTATTGTAATGAAATTTAATTAAAAATGATTAATTATATTTATGAAATATTAGGAAAAATATATAAGGTTTAACTGTAAGCATATGCGTTTCTTCTCGAATAAATATATTTTGAATATTAAAATTCTATAACACAAAAAAAAACAACCAAGCTATTCAATTTTAAAAATCTCATTAAATTTTTTAGCTTCATAATTTAACTAATATCATAATAAGATAATATAATTAGCACATGTTCTATGTTTAACCTATGATATAATATTTATTTGAAATTCGATTATAGGTAAATGATTTTACATGGAGGGTATACTATTTAAATGGACGAATTATTATAATGGTATAGTATTAAAAAAAAATTGAAATAAAAAAATTTTCTTTTCTTTTTTTTTTTTTGTTTAATATAGGATGGCAACCTCGTTATTTTGTATTGAATGAAACAGGTATTCTTTCATATTATAAATCAAGTGAATTAATTCATGAAGGATGTAAAGGTTCATGTTTAGTACCTGCTTGTGAACTTAAAGGTTAAATTAATAATTGAATTATTTAAATAATAAATAAATCTTGTTTTTTTTTTTTTTTCATATTATAGTTCATCCAAATGATCCATTACGTTTTGATTTAATTATTCCGGGTGAACAATTTTTTTGTTTAAAAGCTAAATCACAACCTGAACGACAACAATGGCTTGTTGCTTTGGGAACATGTAAATCAAGAGGAACTAAATCTTCAACAACAACAACAACAACTATTTCAAATAATAATAATAATAATAATACATCTTCAATATTCAGTATAAAATATATTGATTAAATTCTTATTGTTATGTTTATTATTTTTTTAGTTTCACATATAAATGCAATTGATAATGAACTTAAAATCAAAGTTCAAGAATTACGTCTTTATGAAACTGTTCTTACACAACGTATTCATGGTATTAAATCAATTGCAAATGATACACCAATACCTGATATTAAAGTATATTTATTGATGTTTTTTGTTTTTTTTTTAATATTTCTTTTAATAAAGAAATTAGACGAATCAACATCAATGTTAAATGTAACATGTGATGCATTTATTTATACACTTGATGAGTGTGTTAAATTAGCAACAGGTGATTCATCTCAATCATTACTTTTACTTTCTTCATCGTCATCAACAATACCTGATGATATATCAACATATCAACAAACATTTTCTCAAATTGATTCAACTAAGTTTGTATTTTATTTATTTTATATATGAAATTAATTCGATTTAATTTATTAGATCAATAACAGCAACAAAAATTCTACCAAAAGAATTTTTGTATAAAACATTTTTTTCTCAACTTCCTTTTACGTATGTTTAATTAAATTGAATTATTACAAATAAAATTATTTCATTTTTATAGATTTGCTAAATTAACTTCATTAGCATTTAAAGATATTCATTCCGAATTTTTTCTTTCAACATGTGAAGAATATTATTTTTTGATCGGTAAATATTTTATATTCAATATTAATATTATTCTATTATATTATTAATAGATAAATTCAATAGTAAAACATTTATTCCATTACGTACAGATGTCAATGGTAATATTAGTGTAAGTTTTAGATTTTTTCTTTTTATAGACAAGATGATTCATAAAATAAACATTTCAAGTATTTTTACTTCAATTCACTTGAATGGACTTATTTTTTCGTTAGTCATAGAAACTTATTAGAACTATTTTTGTTTTTCATATGAGTAACATAAATAAATACTACTGTCAAGTTCAAGATTGTCGATATTTTTTAAGGATGGAAAGAGCTACAAATGTGTCGAAAAATGTTTTTACCTCGAAATCCTAGAAATGATGACTCCCTCGCGGACAAAAAAAACCCGCCTTTTTACATTTCATTTTTTCACCACATAATATACTGTATTGAAAAAA